ATTCTCTTCATTCTCCCTTGCTCACAAAGGGATAAGACCAGTGGAGTATCTTAGATGGCTGCTCACAGGCTTTTAAGACCCCAGATGCTACTCACCAACGTAGAATGTAGAACATTGTCTTTATAAACTGTGTTATGCCAGTTGAGCTATATGTTCCCTGAGACCATGGTCCCCACAGCCCTCTGCCCAGCAATTCAGTCCCTCAAGGAGTTTGGACGTGTCTATGGAGCTTCCATGACCTTTCCCTGTACAAGTTGTGCTGATTTCCCCAGTATTGTGTACTGTCTCACCCTTCACCCATGATCTTATATAATTTTTAAAAAGCCAGCATGCAAACTCACAGAAAAAAGTGCTTTATTTATAACATCATTTTATAAAGAATCACACTGTGCATTTTTTATTTCAACAATAACATTTGTTTTCTATGGATTTATAGCAAACCCTATATAAAGTCAATGAGTTAATACAAGAGTGAAGATGAATAGGGTGGAATAATTTCTGAAAATATCAAATTATAGCACTCGATATAAAGACTGATAGCTATCTGTACCATAAAAATTTACATGCCACAAAACATTAATTTATAATGTAAAATATGCAGTAAAATATATTATAAAAAAAGCATCAACATTAATTTTATTAAAAACCAGTGAATTACTCAGAGGAATATTTATTAAAACTTACTAAAAATCAGTAAATATTGCAACTGAGGTAAAAATTTATAAGTAAACAAAACTATAATTTATTAGGGCCAGAAGTAAGGAAAAGGACAGACAACATTTTCTGACAATTATGTCTATTCCTTGATATTTTGAAGCAGCTTCAATAAATGTGACTCAATAACCTGTTGAACTAGAACAGATAGGTAGTCAAGATCACTGCATATTGATTATAAAATAATTAAAAACCTATTAAGTTTAACTTAACATTCCCAATTTTATTCTAAAATAAATTTACTTCTAAGTACTATACATTCATAGTCTGAGGGCAATAACGCAACACAACCCTTAAATAAATTTCTAGAAGCTAAAACTTAGTCTGCTCCTGACTTTGTGACTCTGTCCAAGTTACTGGACTTTCTGTGACTTGGTTTCTATATTTATGAAACAGAAGGAGAGTCCAAAGTACAAGGTATTCTAAGGGATAGAGAAATTGCTATGAAATGTTAAACACATCTTGTAAATAAAAACCCACCACTGTCAAGTTGATTGCAACTCATAGAGACCCTGTAAGACAGAGTAGAACTGCCCCATAGAGTTTCCAGGGCTGTAGATCTTTATGGAGGCAGTCTGTCGCATCTCATCCCTGCAGAGCAGCTGGTAGGTTTGAACTGCCGACCTTTTGGTTAGCAGCCGAATGCCTTACCCACTGCTGCAACCAGGACTCCTCATCTTGTAAATAGGCAAGCACTTATCTTCCAGTGACTAATTATTTGGGTTGGTAAAAAGTAACGAATAACAAGCTCATTTTTAGATTTTATAGGAATTTGTGGACTTTGCCCATAGTTAAATGCGTATGTCAGGAGTTAAGTTAGCAGCCAATGTTTTATGACTACAAGTGATGAAAACTGGACCACTGTACTATTTATAAAACTTCACTGAAATAAAAATCTGGAGTTCTAAAATACTTACCACTTCTATAGCCCAGGGCTACGGCTAAATCCATAGAATTATATCCGGAGTCAGTTTCAACTGTTGGGTCAGCTCCATTTTCTATACCAAAATAGAAAAATCTACATAAATAAAATAAAAAATTGCATATGTTTGTCTATTACTGGCTCATATGCAAATAGCTGAACAGATTTTTAGCAGATTTGGTATGTTAGGGATGGTCTAACAAAGTACAGTGCACATGGGGTGTGCAGAATTCACTTTGGTGGGTTGGAGGGAAGACACTGCAAACAAAAAGGCATCCTCTACAGCAGCTACAGCTAATAAACAATTAAAAACAAAACTTATGCATAAAGACACTGTGGATAGAAAAAACAAACAGTGGATTCAAATATGACTCCCCAAATGAAGGCAACAAGGGCAAATGCTCCAATTGTAGATGACAGAACTGCTCCTCACGTGAGCAACTCTATGGTAGTAGGTGTTTCAGGGGTGAATAGCAGCAGGGATTTAACTTAACAATGGTTAAGTACAATGGCTAAGCGCTTGGCTGCTAACTGAAAGGTTGGTGGTTCCAACTCACCCAGCGGCTCTGTGGGAAAAAGACCTGGAAATCTGTTTCCCTATAGATTACAGCCAAGAAAACCCTATGGAGCAGTCCACTCTGTCACATGGGGTCACCGAGTTGGAAATGACTTGACAGTACCTAACAACAACGATTCTTTTGTGTAATATCAGGGGAGGCCAGGTTTTAAAAAATAAAGTCCTCATCCATGACATTTTCTAAATAAATTTCACTTTTATATGCTTACCCAAGAGCATTTTTACACATTTCACATGATTTCCATGCACAGCATAAAGCAAAGGTGTCCCTCCATTCTGCAAAAGGAAAAAGTAATTCAGAGTTTTTTAGGGTTAGCAAGATTGAAAATTCAATGCTGCTGTGACAAGTTTTACTAAGAATTGGGCATCTGAAAGTAGTTTAGGATACTTTTAATAATTTGTAAAGGATATTTAAGTCAGAACTAAAAATTGAGGTTATGACATTAAATTTTAATTTTTCTTCCAGGTGTTTAATACAATTAATTATGTTCCCCCAATACCAAATTAATTCTAGAGTGGTCTTTTTTTACAGCAATTTTAAAATCAGTACAGACTCACCCAATCATATTCATTTATATCAACTCCACAATCAAGCAGCATTTTCACAATATCTGTGTAGCCTTTACTACAGGCCAATGACAGTGCACTCTCTCGACCTTTTCCTAAAAGCTGAGGATCAGCACCCTGGGGTGAGGAGTGGAGATAAAACACTTATCAATTCATTTAAACAAGAGTACTTAAGTCAGATAATGTTCTGGGTTAATAAAAAATAATGCAAACTTTTATTCATGGATGATCTTGTTATCAAGATTGTCTGGATGCCTTCTATCTGAATGCTAACATCCTTTCACTCTGGAGGCAATCACATCTCCTCCATGAGGCCTTCTATAGGGCTGACAGGGCTTTCGTACCCACTTTCACTGTTTCATGTCTGATTAGTCTTGCTTCCCCAACTGGATCCAAGTTTCATGAGAACATGAAAAACGTAATTTTTTTTTTGTATCCTCTACCATTATATCTAGCTGGCTGGAGATACAGAAACTTTATTAAAAACTTCACTAAGCTTAAATAACTATACATATACATTTTCTGAGGCATTTTCCTTACATTCTGAAGTAGAAATTCTACCACAGCTATTTGCCCGTGTGCTGCAGCCCACATCAGAGGAGTAAATCCTTCTTCATCCGTGTGATTGATAACATTTTCTATTTAAAAGAAAAGCAATTTTTGTGATCTAATTTAACAACCACATATGAATAGTACTATGAAAATACTTGCACGCTAAAAAGTAGATTATATCATTTAATGACTTGACTTTGTGCCAAATTTTGTTCACTGAACTTCTATTATTATTTCAATTTGCCGTCTGAATATATTAAAATGTGCCTCAATGTAAATGGCTGAGTTCATACACCATATTATTTAGAAGCATAAACTACCAGACATGATATAATGCTGGGGAGAAGAGAGTAACGAAACACTGGACTCAGAATCAGGAGACCAGAGTTTGAATCCTGGCTCTGTTACCTTCTTGTAGGGTGACCCTGGGCAAGTCATTTATTTTCTCCAATAAACAGATAAATACCTTACCTACCTCAATGTGTAGTTGGGAGGATGACAATACAACTAAGATTATATGATAGCCCTTTGTATTAAATAAATTCATTATGTTATTACAAAAAATTCCAAAATATTATTAAATCTATCTTCTATTCTATAGCTAATATTGCTGCCTTTGAATTTCTCTCATTCTTATGGTTTGCTAACACAATGTAATGTGAGTGAAGACTGAATAATCTGAAACACAGTACCGTGCAACTTTGCCTTGAACCACATTTTATTCCCTAGACTCAGCCTACTAGTTATATAAGCTTTATAGTTTTTTTCCCTAAATTTATTCAGTAGATTGAGAACCAAAGCTCTAAATATTTATAAGAGAAATATAATGATTATGTAAGTCTTTCTTGTAAAAGAATAACATGATTTAAAAAATAAAACTCTTTTAACATGATACTCTGTATTCAATAAACAATGTTGAGGTAACTGGCTAGCTTTTTGAAAAATAAAAATAATGGTCAATCTTTACTCCATTAAACCAGAACAAATTCCATATGGTTCAAAAACTGAAATGTAAAAGAGAAAACCACAGAAGTTCTAGAATAAAACATTTATAATCTTGGAGAGGGAAATTCTTTCTAAACAGGATCTAAAACAGAGATCACAAAAAATAAATTTGCCACTTAAAAAATTTTAAGCTTCTATTTGAAAACATTATAAATGTCGTCAAAGGAAAAATGACAAACTTAAGACAAATAAGTGCAACATAAACAACAAAAAGCTAACTTCCTTAATTTACAGTTTATATAAATCAATATATAACAAGCAGTTCACAGAAAAAGAAATTCAAATAGATCGTAATTTTAAAAACATAAATGAAACAACTATGAGGTACCATTTTTCACCTATTAGATTAGCGAAAACTAGAGTCTGATAATATCCTGTGTTAGTGAGGAACTGGGGAAGTAGAAACTCTTACTTTAGTGTGAAGACAAGTATCTGACAATATATAAGTAAAATTAAAAATTCATAAACCATTTAACCCAACAAACCTCCTTTACCCCCAATGGATATACTTAAAATGAATGCCAACACGACTGTTATTTAACAGCAACAAAATGGAATCAACTACCACCAGAGGACTAGTTAAAAAACCACAACATAATGTATGTATATACAATAAAATGCAATATTGTAGAACCATTAAAAAGAATGAAGTAGACTTTTAGATGTTTATATGGAAATATCTCCAAAATATTAAGTGAAAAAAGCAAGGGGCAATGCAGCACGTGTGATATTTTCCCTCTTGTGTAAATAACAAAAAACACATACAAACGCTCATGCATAACCCAAAATAGAAATATTTTCTAGAAAAATGGTCTGAAAAGATAAGAACTTGTAAGTGTTTGCTTTCAGGGGGAGAAAGATAGGGTGGTAAAAGAAGCTGTAACTATTATACTCCTATTAGGTTATCTGCCTGGTGGGATTATGCAACTATTTGCTTTCGTCTTTATACTTCCTTGCATTAAAATAAAACAATAAATAATAATTCCTATTAAATTTGTTTTACATGAAATTTCTAAAATAGAGTATTACCTTGTTCAATACGAGCAGCCAGGTAGAGCATCTCCCCCTGAGCAGCCAACTGGTGAACAGACAAGGCTGAAACAATACCATAAAATATTTTATGTACATCTGGAGGGTACACTTGCATCATTCCATGGTTCATATTGTTAAGCAAGTTTATTTTTCAGAACAAAAACTATCATTTTACTGTTTTAAAATACAACTTAAAGAGCATGCTAACATTCTGTATTTGAGAATTGACTTTTGTATGTTCATTTAAGATAATTCTGACACCTGCAAATTGCTATTTTCACTTTATTCCAAAGAAATGATTTAGATAACTTAATTTTTAAAATGTTATCACTGTATCCAAACATCTGAGGAATACAGGTCTAAAAGATACAAACACTCCTTTGTTTTTTTTATTGATTGAATGGACTGAAGCCCTAAATATCTTTATTTCAAGATTCCATGGGTTCTTCTTAACATTAGGAGTAAAGATGTAAATGGAAAACTGGCCTTGAGGGTAAATTCTTGAGTCTAGGCCTGTTGTTGTTGTTGTTCGATGCCGTGGAGTTGGTTCTGACTCATACCAACCCCATGTACAAGAGAACGAAACACTGCCCGGTCCTGTGCCATCCTCACAATTGTTGCTATATCTGAGCCCATGGTTGCAGCCACTATGTCAATCCATCTCATTGAAGGTCTTCCTCTTTTTCTCTGACCCTCTACTTTACCAAGCATGATGTCCTTCCCCAGGGACTGGTCCCTCCTGATAACGTATCCAAAGTACGTGAGACAAAGTCTTGCCATCCTCACTTCTAAGGAGCATTTTGGCTGTACTTCTTCCTAGATAGATTTGTTCATTCTTCTGGCAGTCCATGGTATGTTCAATATTCTTCGTCAACACACCATAATTCAAAGGCATCAATTCTCTTCAGTCCTCCTTATTCATTGTCCAGCTTTCGCATGCATACGAGGCAACTGAAAATACCATGGCTTAGGTCAGGTGCGCCTTAGTCTTCAAAGTGACATCTTTGCTTTTTAACACTTTAAATAGGTCTTTTGCAGCAGATTTCCCTAATGCAATACATCACTTGATTTCTTGATTGCTGCTTCCATGGGCGTTGATTGTGGATCCAAGTAAAAAGAAATCCCTGACAATTTCAATATTTCCTCCGTTATGAGTTGGAATTGACTTGATGGCAACGGGTTTGTTTTTTTTCAGTTTATCATGATGTTGCTTATTGGTCCAGTTGTGAGGATTTTTGTTTTATGTTGAGGTATAATCCATTTTGAAGGCTGTGGTCTTTGATCTTCATCATAGCGACACCATGTCTACGTCTATTTGTGCCTAATTAGCTGTGTGACCTTGCACTAGTGATTAAATATTTTTATCTGTAAAAGGAAGGATATGAACCAGATGATCTCTAGGTGTTTCTTTTCAGCTCAAAAATTCTATGGCTGGAATATTTTAAGATAATCTCTCTACTTTAAAATAACACCAAACAGGTATTATTCTATGAGATTTCTCCTTAAAAATTAGATCACTTGATCCTTGACTTCAGTGATATGACTGGGTACCCATAATACAGAAAGGAAAGCATTCTGGAGGCACATACAAATTTATGCAAGAAATGGCCAGTAGGTGGTGGGAGTGAGTCACAGGGGAAGACTTCCTGGCTCAACTGCTATAGCATACAGTTCAAGCATCAGGAGTGATTTAGTGTTCCCAAAGTAAAGATATATATTTTACCATGTTTTAGAATATAGAAATATTTACATTATATTCTCACTTTGGTTACTAACATCGCATTGCTGCTAACTGGTTTTGTTATCTCTCTCTTATTAGCATACCCATACTTACAGAATATTTTCTAGTTTATATAAAAAAACTTCATTTTATTTCCTCTAGAACGAGTCTACTTTTTAAATTGTGGATTCAAAGTTTTAAAAACTGTGGTTGCACATTCATATTATATTCAAATTCAAAATTACAGTAGAAATCACTCCGCTTTCTCTCTAAAATCATTTGTTGCTTAGTGGTCTAATTTATAAGTAAAATGTGACATGCTGTATACAAGAACACAAAAACACAAATGTCTTAATTTTCACAAAGTTCAGAACAACTCGTTGTTATAGTAAAACTACAAAGGTTTTTAAAATTAATCTTTCAATTTGTATTTGCTCTCAATAGAGAAACATTAAACAAGAAATACCAAATATACAACAGTGTTTAAGAAAAAGTTTTAAACTATACAGTGTCACTATGAGTCAAAATTGACTCGATGGCAACAGATTTGGTTTGGTTTTTATTAGGATATCACTTAAGTTTTCAAAAGGAGAATATGCATTTAATGAAAATGATGTTTCAAAGTCAAACTCTTGAAATAATTATATTAGTAGTACTTATTTTAATATATCAGTGGCAAATACTTACAATTTGCTAATAGAGGTGTGGTAGAGACCTCATTTCCTCTATGTTTGTTGGTTAAAGTAGTTGACTGTTTTATGGGTGAGAAATGCTTTGTTGTAGAGGGAGTGTAGACATGCCTTACTTGAATTCCCGGAGAAGGAGATGTATGGATGTTGCATTCAGCTAAGTAAAATAAATAAACACATTTAAATATTTTAATGACAAATCATTTCAATAAAAGTTCTAAGTTACTGTCTGCATTAAAAACAAAATACGTAAGTATAATAGCTTCAACTGTTTATCAAATGAAGTTAAATTTTTTTTGCCGTAAGTTTATAGCAACATCGAGGAAGTTGCAGGAAAAAAAGGTATCAATCTTGAGCAATTTTATTCAGAGGGATTCATTATTTAACAGATCATTACAAAAGTAAACCTATATCATGATGAGAGATTTTACTGAATTATGAAGCTAATGCAAATTAAATATTCATAGATAGGGAATATTAAGCTAATTCATTTCTAAAAGGCACAAGGAACCTTTTTCTCCTATGATTTTAAAAGGAACAATAAGGAACTAAATTGGAGAGTTTGTAAATAAACAAAGCTTAGGCAAGAAATTAAAAAACAAAACAAAACCCAACATATACTTCCTTTCAAATAGGCATTTATATATAATCTGAAATTATTTGGAAACCCTGGTGGTGTAGTGGTTAAGAGCTACGGCTGCTAACCCAAAGGGCAGCAGTTCAAATCCACCAGACGCTCCTTGGAAACCCTATAGGGCAGTCCTACTCGTCCTTTATGGTCGCTATGAGTCGGAATCGACTTGGTAGCAACGGGTTTGGTTTGGGGTTTTTTAAATTATTTAGTTTTGGTTTCTACGAGATTCTAGAAAATCATATTAAAAGATGACTTCCAAATTCTTTTCCCAAACTCAAAAAATCTAATGATAGGAAAAAACAAAACAAAACAAACAAGAACAAATAAACAAAACCAAATGCAGGTATTTATACCATAACTTTCAACCTTTAAATAGGACAGATGCCACCTCCAGGTCAGAGTTAACCTGATCTTGAATATTTTTACTATCCTCTTCATTTAAGGACTTCACAAATCGAGAACACACGTTCATATCAAATCGGTTAGGCAATATGAATTTCATTCCCATGGCAACACCCTGAGCTGATCCTTCTTCTGAGTTTGAGTCCAGCGGATGTTCTGTTTTAATGTCTGTCATGCCACTTAGACTGTAACTGCTGGGACACTCTTCTACGATCAGCTGGGCTCCAATATCCAGATTTGTTGACGTAGCCATGATTCAACCGTAGTTTCAATAATTAAAACATTACTTCATGATTTCCTCTTGGTTTTATATCCAGTGTATTCTTGGAATTTGAGTATTTTTTTTAAATCTGAAATACAATTAAAAAAATTATAAGTACTGTATCAACTTAGGTAAAAGTACCAAAGATAATAATTTTCAATCACATATCCAAATAGATGTCTCTTTTAAGCATCCATACATAATAGAAAGCACACAATGTTCAGAGATAGAGAAACCTGGGTATGGATCCAAGCTTCACCATTTATCAGCTGTGTGAACCTGTACAAGTTACTTAACATCTTGTTAAGTAAAAAAAAAAGTCATATTTGCAGAGGATACCACCATTAACTTCACAGGATCCTGTGAGGATCAAATGAAGTACAGTAACATTCTCACCTTTCTCACCTCCATCACTAGGTTCCAACATATTTTAGTAACCTTTCCTCTTCTTTCATGTACCTGAATATTGCCAAGTAGACAAAAAATCAAGCTAACAATGAAAATAAACTTTTATGTTAAAACTTTAACCTCTTACTTGGAGTTCATATTTAACATGCCATATTTACATAAGTGGCTTTCACTTTGAATTTAAGAAAAGATATAACTCACAATGTACCCAAGTTTATTAACACGGTTTTCTGTATCTGTGATTCCTAAACAAAGCTTTGGTTCTGGAGAACTGAAGATAAATTTATCAGTTTTTATTCAGATCAAGTATTAGCAACTTAATATAGGCTTTTATGGAAAATAAAGTATATAGATTATGGACTGGAATCCTTTGCCTTAGCATCTCTAGGACATTAAGGTCAAATTAAAATTTTTGGATCTCAATCTTTATAGTATTAAGAAATAACTGAATAGTTTTTTTTTTCAAATATGGATTGTCAAGACATGAACTCAATAAAAGCTAACTCTCAAAGCACAGATGATAAGCACATCTTTCACTGAATCATTTATTATTCTTTTTAAATGAATTTTTACTAAGTTTTCTAGCACTTCCCTATGAACCTTAACACAATTTCAAGAGAAGTGTCATTACTATACCTAAAATTGCTTCTAAAGAAATGAAGAAATCCAAGATATAAAATCACCTAAGACGGGAAAAAAATTAACATCCAGTTAACTTACTCATGTTAGGATTTATTGCTTCTGTCAGAAATTCTGAGAAGGTGTGGAGTGTTTTATAATGGGAATTAAAAGAGAACAATGCATTAGGATCACAACAGAGCACCATTTACAGTTTTTTAAAAACATTTTCAAAGGTTGATCCCTTAATGACCCTTTGAGGAGGCACAGAGGAGGAAAAGGAAGCGTCATTAAAATAAGCAGCACCACTAAACTAATCCAAAATGTTCCCGGGAGAAAAAGTTGAAGAAATAACAAATAATAAGAATAAAAACTAACATGTACAAAGTTAATACGTATTAGCAAAAGGAAACAGCTAAACCAGCAGAACAAGATTAGAAAATGAGTTAAGTGATTCAAGTGGTGATGGAGGTGCAATGCAGAGGTCCATGGGCCCTTAAAAGGGTATTGCACAACGTACAGTATTTCCTAAGGAAGAACTATCTCGATGAGCCCTCTACCTAGGGGTGGGTTAAGTGCATCCTACATATATCTCTATGTTAGCATTCTACCACTCTCTTGAAAAAATTTCCACAGTGCTCAACAAACATTTGCTGATTAGATATGGCTGTTTATTTCCAACACTACTAACCAGCTGAGCAACCCTGGGCAGATAAATCTTAAGTTTTCTGTGACTTATTCTATTCATCTATAAATATGCTTCTCTAATACCATTTTCAGAAACCCTGGTGGCGTAGTGCGTAAGAGGTATGGCTGCTAACCAGAAAAGTCGGCAGTTTGAATCCACCAGATGCTCCTTGGAAACGCTATGGGGCAGTTCTACTCTGTCCTATAGGGTCACGATGAGTCAGAATCGACTCGACCGCAACAGGTTTTTTTTACGAACAGGAATATTATTTTCAGCTCTAAACATCTTCCATGTTATAAATCGGAGATTATAGATGGGATTATCGGCCCGCAAAGTCTTTGAGGACAGAACAGTAAATGTGCTTGGTGGGAAATGTAACGCTTATCTTGACACTACCCTAGCGATGAGATGCGAAGTTGACCGGTAAGAGGAAATTTTGAAGACCAGAATGTGAAAAACAGATGATCAAAAAGAGGGTGGTGAGAAAAAGAGTTAAGGCCAAGGATAGCTAGGTTCATCGTGATCTGTCAGAGCCCAGGGATGAAGGGAAAGATGGTCCAATGAAATAAAGGGGGTAACTGTGCTAGTCCCCTTCCTAGTGGATGCTAGTAACAGGAGCTCCCCCCGGCCCGCCCCGGTTCTTCCTACTCTTGGAATTGTATTACAAGAAGAGCAAGGCGCTATAAAAATGAAGGATGCCTCACAGACGACAGGTGTCCGGGCGTTCCAGGACAGAAGCCGGCCAGAGGGAAGACTGTCGTAGGGCAAGTCCGAGCTGTCGCCACCGACCAGCTGCCCGAGAAGTCCCAGCACGGCTCCGATACTGACTGGGAAGCGGAAACACTCGCTCATCCGCGGCGGGAGAGTCCCAGGGACAGGGGCGGGGGTCCGACTGGGTGGGAGCGCAGGGCCTCGCGACCACCTCCCGCAGAAGAGAGTGAGTCTGGCCTTTCCATCTGCGGCCACAGATTTCACTACAGGCCTCAAAAGCCTGGGCTTGTTTTGGCCGCGACGTCACTTCCGAGTTCTTCTTTGCCCTTCTGGCAAAAGACGTTCGGCATCTTTGCAGCCGGGCAGACTTCCAGTTTTTTCCCGCCGCTACGCTGTGCAGTATATACTGCCTGTGTACTAGAAAAGTAAGGTCATCTCAGTTGATAGCTCTGGGTCACTAGAGAAAGATTCAAGTCTCGTCCTGCGGCTGCACTTTCTTCTTCCCATCGCTCCACCCACCTGACAGCCTCTGCGTCATCCGGGCTGCGCGTCTCGTCATCTTCGCGCGACGAATGTGCCCTTTCCGTACGCGGTGTGTCATGGCGGCTCCATAGAGGGTCCGCGTGAGTGAACCAGAGCGGTCCAGTGGAGAGCCCGGCGGAGGTAGGTGAAGGAAGCTTCCATCGGTCCTTCCTGTGGTATCTGACATGTCCCTTTGGGGCTTCCCAGTTTCCGCAGGATAATGGCTAAACTCCTTAACCGACTTCTTGAAATGCCCGCAATTGAGCTTGACCTAGATTTTTCTTTTCTACAATCACACCTCTCCTACTGTCCACTGTAATCTGCAGCTTTCTAACACAAAACTGACAAATTTGCACATCTGGCTTTGCTTATGAGGTTCCTTCAGTTTCAAATGGCCGCCCCCTTGCATCCCCACTTCCCCAGCCCTCCCCTTCCGGTTTTGCGCCCATTTTAAGTGGTGAATCTGTCGAACATCCTCCAAACCAAAAAAAAAAAAAAAAAAAAAAAAAAGCTCCATTGCGGTCGAGTCGATTCCCGCTAGTGGAGACCCCATAGGACGGAGTAGAACTGCCCCATAGGGTTTCTGAGGAGAGGCTGGTGGATTCGAACTGCTACGTTTTGGTTAGCAGCCGAGCTCTTAACCACTGCGCCACCAGGGTTCCTTCTGAAATGGTACAGGTCTTTGAATCTTTCCGGGAGCCTTCCGGTTAGAATTAAAAATCTCCGTCATCTGAGCTCTTAGCACTATGTTCGTTACTCATAGCATTTATTTGATATTCTGCATTGTATTGCAGTAGTATGTTATTCATGTATTCCCAGTTTTTCAGGCTCTTTCCTCTCCCCGATAATTTTCCTCTTACTCATTTTCACGTGATTTCTTGTCTCCATGCCTTTGCACATTGCCGCCCCACCTCCCGCCCGACCCCACCCTTCCCCACGCTGTTCTTCATTGTAATCTGGCAAGCCACTGCTCCTTACTTCCCGCTCTAAAGCATTAAATTATTCTGTCGGGCAGTTAGGTACTCCTTCACCTTAATACTGTATAATAAGGGGCAAAGTAAGGCCTGGAAGCCAAATTTGACTCGCTACTTGTTTTTGTGTAGCCGGGGAGCTAAGAATAGTTTTTTACAGATAACATTTGCAACCTGTTTGATGATGGAAAACACAAATTTTGAGTCCCAATTAAGCAAAATGTTATCTCCCCCAAAAGAACTCTATTCGTATTTAGAAACAAAAGATTGTACTTGTTATACTTATTTTTATTTTATTCCATCAATTAAAAACTTGGAGAAATTTCTTTCTTGTTAGATAAGTGCCAGGAGCCCTGGTGGCACGGTGGGTAAGAGCTTGGCTGGTAACCAAAAGGTCAGCAGTTGCAATCCACCAGCCCCTCCTTGTAAACCCTGTGGGGCCACTGTACTCTCTCCTATAGGGTCACTGTGAGTCAGAATCAACTGGATGCCAATGTGTATATAAGTACCTACGTAACATTCTTCATTTTGCCTTTTGGCCCATAAAGTGTAAATGTTCACTCTCTGGCCTTTTACAGTAAAAGTTTGTTGACTCTATAGCATTGTTCAGATTATAGACACCACTTGAGATTTTAATTTGGTATTTTCCTATGGAACCTAGCGCAGTGCTTCCTTTCCTTCTTTCCACATTCTTTGAGAACTTTTTATCTTCCTGACATGAAGTAATTCAGTTCTGTTGGGGAAAAGATTTAAAGAGAGCATTACAATACAGGGTGATTTTGTGCATTGACAGAATTATGCAGATTCAAACAGGACTGTAGAAGACTAGCCCCTGACCTAGTCTAAGGGATCAGAGAAGGTTTCCTGGAGGACATGATCCCTGAGTTGAGCCTTATATAAGTAGGAAGTAAGTTGAGAGAGGTCATTCCTGGCAGAGGGAACAAAAGAGCAACACTGAGGCAAGAAAGAGCTTGGTGTGTTAAGGGAACAATAAATGGTTGGAAATGACTAAAGGTGAGGCTGAAAGGTAGGCAAGGGCCAGATCTCAGAAGACCTTACATCTTATGTTAAGGAGCTTGGACCTTATTTTCTGGACAGTGTTGGGCTTTGTAGCAAAGGCAGATTTGCTTTGTAGTTAGATAACTCAGGTGGCTATTTGGAAGATGGACGGTGGAGTCCAATCTCGGAATGATGTTGCACTATTTCAGTAGACAAGAGGGCATGAATTAGGACAGTGGAAGTAGGAGGAGAGAGGACATGAAGTTTAGAAAGATTTGGGAAGTAAAATCAGCAGGTATTGTTAACTATTTGGATGTTAGAATTGACGAGGAAGGACAGCCAAAGCTGATTCCAGGTTTCTAGCTGGTGCCAATCACCAGCTGAAAGAATACTGGAGTATGCATTTTATAAATGTTGAAATAGTGGATAGCTTTCTGTGGGAACAGCTTCTGCTTTTCCTGCTTTTAAGTAATGTCCAGTGATTTTAGAGGGGTGGGATCCTGGGAGTGGAATTGAGAAGCCCGTACTTAATGGTAAAGTCCTGGAATTGTCTAGGGTTTCTTGGGAGCTTGCACTTGCTATTTTCTCTGCCTGGAATGCTTTTCTTTCAGTTAAGTGTGTGACCTGCTGCCTCACTTCTTTAAGTCTCTGCTCAAATGTTACATTATCGGAGACAACTTCCCGGACCACTCTGTATAAAAGGAATCCCATCTGTGATTTTCTGCTCTTTTTTTGTTTTAGGACTTCTAGTTACTACATGATATATAGTTATTTATTCTTTCTCTCATGCCTCCCACCCCTGCCCCAACAATGAAAGCGATACAAAGCCAGGGATTTTGTGAATTTGGTTTTCTGCAATAGCCCCGGTGTATCAGTCACAATCCCTGTGCGTGGTGGTGAGCTGGACTTTTTCCTCTCATCCCCTCTTTTTAAAGTCTCTGTAAACATTTTTTTAAAAAGGAGCTATACTAGAGCATGTCTACAAAAATTTTTGTTATATTTAAAATTTTATTATTCATACTTTTAACCCCAACACAAAATGACCTCTAACCTCCTTTGTGAATGTGAAGCCTTGGGCAGATGGTTCCCTCCAGGTGCTGCATCCCCCTCCCCCATTGTGATTTACAACTCTTGTAAATGGAGAAGTGGTAAGGAATTAATTAGATTTGAAGCATGTTCTGAAATTTATTAGATCTGTTGGAGATATGGGCTATGTTACATTTAATTTGCCCATCTAGACTAGAATCCTGCCTTTTGCCTTGAAGGTTGCTTTTATACAGACAGCATAGTAAGAAGATGAAGATACCTAGTATTACTTTATCAGGTTGAATATTAAGTTATTTTAGAATTTTGATCCCCATGCACAAGGGATCGGATCATTGTGATTCATAGGGTTTTCATTGGATGGTTTTTCGGAAGTAGATCACCAGGCCTTTCTTCCTAATCTGTCTTGGTCTGGAAACTCCACTGAAAACTATTCAGCATCATAGCAACACGCAAGCCTCCACTGATAGATTGTGGCAGTGTTTGAGGTGCATTGGCCAGGAATTGAACCAGGGTCTCCACATGGAAGGTGAGAATTTTACCAGTGCCCGCAAAAGGAGTATCAGAATAATTTAAATTTATCTTCAAGGAAAAACCAGTTCACTTCACTGGTTTTTATAGTTCATTTTTCATAGAAGAGCCACTTGCATATTTGGAAACATAAATGCATATCATGTCACCTACTTTGCTTAAAATGACTTGGTGGCTTCCAAACATTAGAATTAAATCTCAACTTCTTGCCCTTACACAGGAATCTCCGTGGTCTGATTCCTGTTTCTCCAGCTGAATCTCTGATCATCTCTCCCGAGCTCAGTGTGTTCTAGCTGCATGGACCGCCTTTCTTTTCTTGGAACCAGCCAAATCCCTTCCTTGACTCCAGGACTTCGCTCTTGTTTTTCTCCCAAGTCTCTCCTTGACCTGTGCTTCCTCTCACCCCAGAGTGGCTTTTCCTTTCCACTGTGTCTAAAGCAGCCTTTGCCAGCTCTCATTGCTCTGTTAATATCTTTCGTAGTACTTATTGCAAAAAAAAGTGTTTTCCCCCCTTTTAATCATTGATTGTCATTTTTTTAATCAAAACAGCCTTTTAAAATATGTCACATCTACTTATTTTGGTGTTACTGATGCACTGTTTTCAGGCCTTTAGGAATAGTTAATAAGTAGTACCACTGGAATCATCCCCCTTTATCATAGTACCTACAATTGAGTCTCTTTTGCAATTGAATAGTTCTGAAAAGAAGTTTTGGCTTAATTACATGGTAATTAAAGGTTTGAGTTCATTTTTATGTTATTCTGTTACTTTAATACTTAATTTCAGAATTGCTTTATTCCTGTTTCCTTCCCTACCTTTTAAGTTAATTAATGTGAAGCTTCTACATTTGAACATTAGCTTTTAATTCAGTTTTATTTTAAGCTTCTGCATTAGGCTATTAGCTCTGCTTTCTTTCTTGGCTTTTTTAGGCTCTCAGAAAGCCAGGTCCCTAGACTATACTATTATAGGTTACATTTCATCTTAAATTAAACTTCAGGAAAATTTTGTTCTTGCAGTTTCACTTAAGCTTTCTTTTTTTTTTTTTGGTTTGGTTCAAAAAGAAAGCTCTATGCCAGTGTGCTTCTCTCTGTTTTGAGTACCAGGAGGTGGAACCAGATTTATTCCCAGTGTTGTAAACTGGTTAGTGAGGTGTGAGAACATTTGTGTGCAGCCTCTGTATACAGCTGAGCCGACTGCAGAATGGCAGCCCTGATTTGTATTCTTCTTGCTTCCTTTAGATTGTCTCGTCTGGGTTACGGTTAAATAGCTTATTAGTCACTAATCTAAAAGCTACCACATAGCCTTTTGAAAAAAGGTAGAGTGAAAACCATAATTATATGTACATGATTATCAATAAAATGTGTATATGAAATATTTTCTTTTTCAGAATTAAGGCAGAATCTCTGTAATTATTTCTAACATCAATTTCAAACTATTGGCCATTGGACAACAGTGCAATTATATGAAATCATGGCTGGTTATAAGCCTGTAGTTATTCAGACATATCCTGTACTTGGCGAAAAAATCACTCAAGATACTCTGTACTGGAACAACTATAAGGTAAGTATGGGCAGCACTGGGAGAGCAGTAACTGCATTTATGCCAATTTCTCCAGCATATGTTAATACTTTGGATAATGAAACAGAGAACTAATAACAAAAAAAATCTATGGGCAGTTTATAGTTTGGATGGATAATTTAATATCTGATTTTTTGTTTTTTGGAATTTTTCTATAAAAATCCATACTGCTTAATCAGTTTAACGATACAAGTGCCCAGTACAGAGAAGATGATTGATCAGTGTCAAATGAATTACATTTTAGAATTTGAGCCTCATACAAGAAGATTTTTTTTTTGCCGTTCTTAATCTAAGGAAGAAGTGATGTAAAATTAATTATTCACCCATTTATAAGGAGGGAAATTGGTATAAACTTTCTGGAGGGCAATTTCATAACATTTATCATGATTAAAAAAATACACATACCTTTTGACTCTACAGTCTCAGCTTGGAACTTCCTCAATAAATATACTCCCAAAAATATGCTAAGATGTATGCATAAAGATAGTCATTGAAGTATAATTTGTAATATCAGAAATCTTGAAAATCCTGTATTAGTATTGGGTCCAAAAAAACCAAAAACCTACTGCCATCGAGTCGATTCCAACTTATGGCAACCCCATAGGGTTTCCGAGGCTTTAAATCTCTACAGAAGCAAACTGCCACATCTTTCTCCTGCAGAGCTGCTAGTGATTTCGAACTACCGACCTTTTGGTTAGCAGTCCAGCACTTTAACCACTGCGCCACCAGGGCTTATCCTTGTAATGAATGGTAATCTATTGCTCATATGAAAAATTAATTAGTATGTGTTATTAAGTGAAAAAAAAGCAAGATGCAGAACGGCCTGCCTGGTATGATCTTTGTGTCAGTTAAAAGATACATAGATAAATATATGCTGCTATAGGCGTAACTTTTTTTATTTTTTCCTGGAAGGAATCACAGAAGACTCAACAACTGAAGAGAAAAAGTGTGGTGTAGCTTTCTATTTACTTTTTATTTACTTTAATGGCAAGAACAATAGGCTGGGTAATGGGATTATGGACCTTTTGCTTTTCTTCGTACTTCTATATTAAATACAACCTAATAAATGTTAGAAAGGACAAAAAGAAATGGTCTGTAAGGGATAATGTAATGCTTAAATTTGTCTTGCCATTGTAATTCTGTTAATACTATGTTTTATTTTTCATTAAGACCCCTGTTCAGATTAAGGAGTTTGGTGCAGTGTCAAAAGTAGACTTTTCTCCACAGCCTCCATATAATTATGCTGTCACAGCTTCTTCAAGGGTAAGCATAATATGAAATTTCTTTATTTTTCTTTTGTGTGATTTAGATTTACTACTGATCTTGAGCCATCTGGTGAAATACTATGTTTTGAAATACTGTGTTTTTTATCTTGTGATAGATTCATATTTATGGCCGATATTCCCAAGAACCTATAAAAACCTTTTCCCGATTTAAGGACACAGCATACTGTGCTACTTTTCGACAGGATGGTAAACTGCTTGTGGCTGGCAGTGAAGACGGTGGAGTTCAACTTTTTGATATAAGTGGGAGGGCTCCCCTCAGGCAGTTTGAAGGCCATACAAAGTAAGAGGCAATTGATTTTTGTGTGTTCCTTTGTTTTGTCTTAAGGTCTGTTCTTTCTCTGAGCTTTGATTAAAAATAGAGGGCAGTTAGTTCTATGTACCTGTATGTACTTTATTTCCTAGTTCTTCTAAGATGGGGTGCTTAACCTGGGCCCTATGGTCCCCTTTATGATGCTCATGAATTCCCTGGAATTGCATGTAACATTTTAGGAAGTGTCAATTTATCTAGGAAGATTTTTTATAGTTTTCCTGAACTCTTCACCTGTGATCCAGTTGAGGTTATGAACAGTTGATCTAAAGGCACCCTCACAACCGTAAATGAGAACTCTGTAGGCCCAGACTATCTTAGAGGTTCGCTTTTTGAAGTCAGATTGGAAGGTGGAATTTCTTTTCTTCTTGGATTTGTAATATTTTTGCCCGTTAATAAACTGGATGACCAGGGCAATTTTATTTTATAATTTTATTTTCAGGATTACCAGTGTCTTTGCTGAAATTTGCTATTAATGTAAAATATCAAGTGTCCTTTATCATATATTATCAGGGTGGTCTTACCCCATCAATGAAATATTTAAAATATAGCAGAAATTCACTAACATGATCCTACTTAGTGACATGACTTTTTAGAATTTATTTTTTTTAAACTACCCTTTTTGAAACTTTTAAAAATAAAATGCCTTTGTTCTAGCATTTAGAACATTAATTTTCATTAAGCAGCTAAGTGAAATTGCTAAAATTAGAAAAATATAATCGTATGGCTGCTATTTAATATTCTTACTAGCTTCATAGTGCAGGGGTATTTAAATTTTTTAATTGGCTTGGGGGTAAACACCTGTTTTAAAGGTTTTCTGTTTCTTTCATGATTTCCACCTACAATTATTGCTTGAAACTGAGCTTTTTTTTATGTTATCTGGGAAAAGCAGTGTTTTATGTTAGAAGGTGCTAGAAATATTTTTTCTTGCTTTTTTATATACTGATCCTTGATCTTTCAGAGCAGTTCACACAGTAGATTTTACAGCTGACAAATACCATGTGGTATCTGGGGCTGATGATTATACTGTTAAGCTATGGGATATTCCAAACTCCAGAGAAATTCTGACATTTAAAGAACATTCTGATTATGTGAGGTGTGGATGTGCTAGCAAACTGAACCCAGATCTCTTTGTAACAGGTTAGTGAACTCTTTTTTTTTTTTTTTTTCTCCTGACATAGATAATCTTACTATAATATACTTTAATGTTGCTTTGGGATTGTTGTTGTTGTTGTTAGGTGCTGTCAAGTTGATTCCAACTCATAGCTACCCTGTGCACCACAGAATGAAACACTGCCTGGTCCTGTGCCCTGCTCATAACCGTTGTTATGCTTGAGCCCATTGTTGCAGCCACTGTGTCAGTCCATCTCATTGAGGGTCTTCCTCTTTTTCGCTGACCCTGTACTTTACCAAGCATG